GTTGGTCCACCATTTGCCGTAATTACAGCAGAAATTCTTTTTGGTAAATTATTAACGAGATTTATACAGCCTTCAGAAGTAATTGCGTTCCATTCTAGGCGCAGGCAGCGTTTTAGATCTTCCTTGTTGTTGATTGTGTGGCGCCTAATCCTACGCTTTAATAAACTCCATAAATATTCTTTGGGGTTCAGATCTGGAGACTGGGCAGGTCAGTCAAGAAGCTCCGTGTTGTTTTCCCGAAACCATGACATTGTGCGGGCAGATTTGTGCCATGGTGCGTAATGTTGCTGGATTTTGCACCATCCATGTTCGTGTCACCAAAACGTTTCGTGAATGAAGGCAGGAACGCAGTTTCTAGTACATTTATGTACTTGGTAGAGTCCATGCGTGAGGGCCGCACGAACAATTCGCCAACTCCAGAATCGGTCATGCAACCCCAGACCATTATGCTGCCGCCGCCGTGTTTAGCGGTGGGGATCACACACTTTGGCTAAAATTCTTCGCCCATACGGCGACGCACGAAGGTCACACCAGGTGTACCAAAAATCTGTAATAAAGGAAAAAATATTGAGTTTTGTAAAACTAAAATTACTTCTTTCATACGTTTGGTTTTTCAACCATTTTATAAAATTGTATTAGGGCATTAAATTGACGTACTTACCTCAAAGTTTGATTCGTCGGACCACACAGTATTTGACCAATCTTCAGCGGCAAAAGTTCGGTGTTTTAAGGTCCATTCATACCGAGCTTTTTTGTTGTTGTCTGAGAGCCATGGATTCTTCCTAGCTTTACATCCTTTCAGACCAGCTTCTTGAAGCCTTCTACGAGTAGTTCGAGCAGAAATTGGTTTCATAATTTGTTCTGACAACTCATCAGCAAGCTCGGAAGATGTTTTTTTTCCCTATTTCTTAATGACTTTCTCAGAAACTGACGATCCTGACGGTCTGTGGTGATGCGTTTGCGCCCAGTTCTTGGTCTATTTTCATGTGACCTGATAGCAGAGAACCGCTAAATAGCATATGCACGGATCGACGCGACCATTTCACAGTTTTGGAAATCTCTACTTGCGATTTCCCTTGCTCATACAGAAGCTGTATCTGTACACGTTTTTCTAAAGAAAGTTCGTTTCGTTTAGGTATTTTGCAACGATAATACTAATAACTTCCGAAATAAAATACAAAAAGCGCAGTAGATCACTGAATGTGTTCACAACGAGCGATGGTAACGAACTGATAAATAAATACAAAAATTGTAAAATACACATTTTATTGCACCCAGGTGTTTTGTTGCTAGCTGCGGCGTGAGTCACTGTTTTTAAACCTTTGTAGATGACCGACAAAATAGTTCATCAACAATAGATATTGCTTTTTCCCACACTTACCGTAAATGAGCGAAATTTGTAAGGTGCTCAATACTTTTGGCCAAGGCTGTAGATAGGTAAGATAATGAACTAAAACACCAGTGACCAACCATTAATTCCAAAACTTTCATAAATCATTACAAACATACCACACGAACCCCCATTGCTAAGTTTCTATAACAAAATCACAAGAATATAAACTGTAGACGCTTGTATTTTCCCTTATTGTCCGACTTCTGGAATGAAACACATATGAGAGTATATTCTACCTTTCTTATATCGTAGTTAGGGCGCCCGGAGCGGCCCTAACGCAGTAATTAAATCGACCCTGTAACTGCATTACCTTCGAGAATGTCGAGATACGTTACACTTCGGGACGGACGTACCGGAACGTTACATTATGTATCGAAGGTATAAGTACCCATAGCAAGTATGGCTGGTGATATATTACCTATTTGGGCGGTTGGGAAACTGGCTCGTGAAAATGTACCTAACTTAATACATAGATACATATTTTGTTTTTGTGTTTTTGTTTTTTGCCCTCCGCGGTTCCGTATCATCATCATGGGCATCGGCATCAGCCCTATTGGGCCCCACCTGTGGTGATCTGATGGCTCTTTGAGGCGCGCGCGGAATACGACGCGCCGTCTGGTTCTGGTCGGGCGGCGAGTACCCGTGCTCGCCGTCCACAGGCCCGAGAGGTACATAAATAATGTGGTACGTAATAAGGACATTGAATTTTCTTTAGAAACGATGCATTAAATACACTACACTTAACACATTGTGCGTGGTGCTCACGCCTTTCTATAAAACTAAATACGAAAATGACTTATAGAGAAGGAGCGGAAAGTCCACTTTAGAGACATTTTGCGAAAGAGACATTCTGAGAAAAGGACACTTTGCGACTAGTGGACATTTTGAGAAGTGGACATTTTGAGACGGAGCCACCATTTCATGTCCTGCAGATCTTAGGAGCTATAAAAACTACTATGGAAGAAAACTTCCTAAAAAAAAAACGAGCAGGTACCAGATACCATTACTTACAATTTCTCCCAATAAACACTTAACATGTAAACAAAATATATTACTTTTACAAAAGTAACTGAACTACATAAATCCTTAGTGAAATAGTTCTAGTAGATAAAATATATGAGCACTCTTTGCCTTTGTAAATAGGGATGGTAAACTGGCCTGCAGGTCAAGCTACTCCAATCTGCAACTCCACTTTATCCATTAGATTTTCGACCTTAGACAAAGACAATATAAAGTTGAAAATCTAATAAAGAAATTGATAGAAAAGTATAGGTTCATCTGCCGGTCTGTACGATTATGCATCAATACGGCAAACTAATGTGTTCACTTAATAAAACTGAGTTACTATGTAATTTCAGGAATATTTTGAGATATTTATGTGTACGAAATTAGGTCTGAGCCATGGAAAACAACGTTTTGTTCTAGTTTCTGTTGTTTTAAGTGTGCAATCCATTTTATGGTTAGTGTTTTCGTTATGAATATGAAACTAGATTTAGGTAAGGTTGACTTGTCAAAGTAAAAGCCTGATCAGTTTTTCGATTTACGTACTTAATGCTATTGATTAACATAAAAACTGATAAAAATACACTTTAAACTCATCTGTCTATAGACATTGACACTTTTTTTTTTTTTTTTTTTTAAGGGGGGAAAATCATCGAATGACTTCTCCCGCCTGGGTGAGACTCTTACTGACTAAAAACCACCCCGTTCCTTCTCCTGCACGTCGAGCCGGAGCCCCGGTTACCCGTTAGGTTCTCCGCGACAGACATTGACACTAGGTATCTCTTTTATAGTATAAAAAACTGCATGTGTGCATACAGGTACCTATTCGTTTCATTTATGTTTATATTTAAATCACCGTTTACTTCAACGTTCCTAAATAAAACTACGTAAGCATTGTGTCAATTATAAAACGGTTTTATTACAAAATATACCCAAGTAGGTAATTTTATAGTAGAAAATGGTGTTTAGACTTCATCATTAACGAAATTTGTACACCAACGTAACAAATGACAAAAAAAGACTCACCCTCTCAATATTCGGCCGTCGTCTCCGAAAGAAATCAGAAATCCCACACAAATACATAGTTCACAGTCTCACTGCAATTTATTAACTAAAAAAATAAATTAATCAGCGAATTGTTTTCAACAAAAAACTGACACAAATCGTTCGAGGGTATTGCACTAAACCAAGTGACATTGTATTGACGATAGCACCGCTACTTCTTAATAACTATAAGAATTACTGCACTACACAGGATGTGGTTTATTCATATTGTTTAAATCTGGACTTTATTGTATGTTACATCATTGTTACATTCAGGAATGAATTTTATGTAGATGTTGTGTAGGTTGATTTTTCAGCTCAATACGAAAACATATGCAAGTTGTGATAACCCGTTGCTTAAAATGCTTTAGTTAAAATAGCCTCATCGGTCCCCGTCTACCTAAATAAAAGGGCTTAACTCGTTGAGTACCGTCATTATAGACACAATTATAGAACAGTAGGTTGCGGTCACCGGTGACCGCTTGGTGTTTGACAGTTTAAGGCGAGTTGGTAATATTCAGGTTAAACAGAAGTCGTCCAAGAAGCTGAGCTGATGACCGGTGACAAATGAAGGTCTTCTAATCAGTTGTGAGGTGACCACTCATCTTAGGGTTGTGGGAAGAAATCCCATAAGGGATATGCAATTCCTAATTTAGCTTATATAATAACCTTGTGGAAAGGCCCACCTATGGAGAAGACAACTAAGAAAGTATTAAAAACTAAGTTCTACGATGAATTTTGTACGTACATACTTAGTAGGTTTGTTAGGTTCATCCATATCATCACGTAGGTCAAGATTATCTTAATTAATTATTATACTCATCAAAAATCCCGACACACAGTAGGGCTTTCAGAAATGAAACCCGCTGTACGTAATGCGTTAGTTAAAACCGCTTCAATCCTGCTGGAACCAAATACTCTTAATTGTTAGTAGTCCGCTCCACTTGGTCGCGTCGACTGTCAACACTACCGGCCAATAACGACCCGTTGTTTTATTGAACGGTAATCGATACTATTCGATTGTTCTTATAAAGATTTGTTGCTGTAAAGGATTTTTCTCGACGATCGAGTTCAGCTACGTGCCTACAAATGATACTTGCGAAGTGTAAGTACAAAATAAGGGAGCTAAGTATCTGGTTTTGTGAATAAAAATTTACATATCAATTTAATATGAAAGAAGCTATTGTGAGTCAACCCTCAGGGTACCATCGTTATAAGTATCTAACTTCAGAATGGCTAGGTCTACTTAGTATCCTAATCATGATTTTCTATAGATATTTAAAAAATGAAAAATGGTGTCTACGACTAGTTTTTACGAAAGTTGCAATTTAGCTAATCACAAATAATCACATCGCTATGGGCAAAATGTAGTCGCGGAGAACCTAACGGGTAACCGGGGCTCCGGCTCGACGTGCAGGAGAAGGAACGGGGTGGTTTTTAGTCAGTAAGAGTCTGACACTCCCTCCCGCCTCACCCAGGCGGGAGCAGTCATTCGATGATTTTCCCCCCTTAAAAAAAAAAAAAAAAGGGCAGCAACTTGGGGCCTCTAGAATTCATTATCATGATAAACGATCTACCGGAAGTCGTAAGACATGGTGCTTGTTTGTTATTTGCAGATGACCTTAAGTTGCTGTTAGAGATTAGGTCAGAGGCAGATTGCAGGCGCTTGCAAGAGGACATCGATCGCATAGTACAATGGAGTCATGAAAACAAGCTGTACTTTAACGTATCCAAGTGCTCGTTGATGAGTTTCACCCGTGCTCGTGCACCGGTGCGCTACGATTATGTGGTGGATGCGGCGCCACTGCAAAGAGTCACAGGGGTGCGAGACTTGGGTGTTTTCATGACTCCCGATCTGACATTCCGTGAGCATATAACCAGAATCTGTAAGAAGGCATACAGAAACTTAGGATTTGTTTTGAGACAGACACAAAGCTTCACAAATATTACAACAGTTAGAGTCCTATATGATGCACTAGTCAGGAGTCATCTGGAACATAGTGCGGTCATATGGGCTCCACATGAAGCTAAGTACACGTTAATGCTGGAGAGCGTTCAGAATAAGTTCACACGCCACCTGTACAAGAGATTGTATGGGGTATATCCGTTTTACCCACTGATGTATCCCACTCTATTTATCCTGGGTATGGTTGGATATAATCAACTGCATGTCCGGCGAGAGTTTACACTGGTCGCCTACTTGGTGAGGGTGCTTCGTGGAGTGGAGAGTCACCCGACAGTATTGCGGCACTTAAGTCTGTGTGTGCCGGACCGCTACGTGTGGCGACGGCGGAGTCCGCCTTTGCTGTTGGTACCTACAGCGAGAACTAACTTACTCGCTAAGGCACCTCTTACCAGAGCTATCCGTACCATTAACGACCTTCAGACACAGATTGATGTGTTAACATGTTGTTTTGGTGAATTCGCGAGGGTATTACTATTTATATTGTGTTATAAGTAAAATAATATTATGTATTTTTATTAGATTCGATAATTTCAATAATGACATGTAATTTTTAATTATGTTGGTCACTTTGGTGAATAATGTATAGCTTTTTCCTATTTTTGATTTTATATATTGTTATTGTTGGTTTAGTTGGTGTTGGTTTGTATTGTATATTTGGTTTGGTTCTTAGCTGTCGCATTAGGATACATGATGCCCTGTGATGATAGTTTAAAGTGTTCTTAAATATAAATAAATATAAATATTAGTAGGATCGTAGGATCTACTGATATTCCGTCTGTTCTTACCTGTATACTAAATAACTGTTCTGACAGTTTAACAAAAATGCTATTGAACTGTGCCGTTATCGTCGACTGTATGCTTCATAATTTGTTTACAAATCACATAATTATTATGACTTATGTTAAGAACAAGTACATCAACACAAATGATAGCTTAATATGTACGTACGTATGTTAATTAATGTAGCACATACTGATATACTTACAATATTGTTAAGAATGGTCATGCTCACGTCAGTGCACCTTTTCAAATGTAGATAAATATTTAGAAGTATGGATCCATGATACAGGTTATTAACCAGTGCCGGATTAGCCACGTAGCAAGAGTAGCAAATGCTACGGGCCCCGCGAATTGGGGGGCCCCGCGCTCAAATAGGTATTTCGTAATTACACCACTTCAACAGCAAGACTTATGAAGAAAATGTTTTGTTTACAAAACTAGTACCAAAATACAAGTAATTTTTTCTTAACGAAATAAGGCCAAATAGTCGGTATTTTGTATGTGTCAGAAAAGGAAAGTGACTATTTGTCCGCTCGGTTGGTGCCATTGGCGGGCGAACCGAGCCGACCCGAACTGCGCGCATAGCTATTTCCGCCTCACCTCTAGGTACAATATCTATCACGAAAAAAGTTGGTATCAAATTCAAAAAAAGGTAATTTGAAATTGTACCACATTTTTTAAATTGAGCGCTAGCCACACACAAGTTATGTGTTAAATAAATATTCATATTCATGAGCAGCATTTCGCGACCTGCGACGCAGCGACTGTCGCGCTGCTACTGGCTACTCGAGTCTGCGGGCCCAGCGCGCCCTATGCCCTGATTCACGCGCACGGCGCACACGCCGCGTCGCAGGTCGCGAAATGCTGCTTCGATATTGAAAGTGTAATCGCTAAATTTGCCCATAATAAATCCAGAAAAGTTTATTAATAACAGTTTTTTTTTTATTTAATACTTTAAACTTCCTGAGGGATCGATCGATCCGAGTGGTCATTGATGGCTGCTCATCCAATCCACTTGGTATTAATGCCGGGGTTCTCCTCAGGGGTCAGTACTCTCAGCAACACTTTTTTTGTTGCACATTAATGACCAGCTCCAACCCGGTGTCTTTGGGTACGCAGATGACAGCACCGTAGTTGAGAAGTATGTGTCCGATGCGCGAACCAGTGCAACTCAAATCCAGTCTCTGAGAGAATTTATGGTAAATCGTCTGAACCTGTCCTTGCAGGCGGTCTTCGATTGGGGTGACGCCAATCTGGTCGGGTTCAATGCCTGCAAAACCCAGGCGTGTCTGTTTTCCGCTAAACGCAGTCGGTTCCCACTGACTCCTACTTTCCGAGGTGTGTCCGTTCCGATGGGTGACCGTCTCGAGTTTTTCAGCGTAACTCTGACGCGCACTCTCAATTTTGGCTCGTATATCGAGACAAAGGCGCAACTGGCTGGTAGAAGGTTGGGTGTCCTGTCGAGGGTGAGACGGTACTTCACGCCGGAGCAGTTGCTCACTCTTTACCAAACATAAGTTCGGTCGTGTATGGAGTACTGCTCCCATCTTTGGGATGGCTCGGCTAAATACCAGTTAGAAGCTTTCGAATCCATCGAGAGGCGTGCCAAGAAGCTCATCAATGACGATTCGCTTGTGGAGGCTCGGCTACAAAGCCTCGAACACAGGCGCAAAATCACAAGCCTTTCGGTCTTCTATCGGATACATTTCGGTGAGTGTGCGTGGGAATTGCACAAACTTATTCCCCCTAGTCCATTTCACCACCGTACCACCAGACGAACGGCGGGGCGCCACCCTTATATGGTGGACATTCCACATGTGAACCGCTAAGGAATGGAATTCCTTGCCAGAGGCTGTGTTTCCCGTCAAATATAACTTGGGTTTCTTCAAGTCCCGAGTGAACAGGTTGCTCATAGGTAGGTGTCCTCCATCGTCGGCCACATCATCGCTTACCATCAAGTGAGATGGTGGTTAAACGTCGACCTATAAAGTGTCAAAAAAAAAATATTTGAGAACCGATTGCAAACCAAGGGCCCCTTGACAGCATTTGCTACAGGCCCCGCGCTGGCTTAATCCGGCACTGTTATTAACAACACAACACAGTCAAAGTCGAAATCATTAATTTCAATTAGAACAGAAAGACACTTTTGAACGTCAACAAAAAAATTAAAAGTGAAGCTATTTGCTTAAAACTCAGACTGCATGAGCTCGTCAACTTTAGCAAAATACTTATACGTTTGTAGGTAGGTATTTACTTAGTAGTACCTATCTAAACTCACTGGTATCAGGAAAGAAGAAAATAAAAAAATATTCGTTTAAGATAATTTACTTTTATATTATACACACAATATCAATATACCTAATACAAATATTTCCCGAAGTTCATATTCGTCCAGTCGTATTGATGCCCTAACAATAGGAGGGCTATTAATTAGCCCTTTGTAATTGTTATAGTCTTAATTATTATGATCTAAGTACGTGCCTAAAATGTCTTCTGTCGCAGTCAACTACCTGGATTAATTAAGTAGGCTATTCAACTAACGGCTTGAATGACTAGTCATTATATTCCATGACTCAATTTCAAATTCAGGCCAAAAGTTGAAAGCTGAAAGCTGAAGGAATTGTAATTAAATCCGAGTTGCTACCAGAATAGTTTGTCATTGTTAAGCTTGAACTGTGACCTGCACAGAGATCAAATTAATCGCCATTAGAAATAAACAGCTATATAACTACCAGAATTGTACCGCGATATCTATTAATAAACAGGCTAGGCCCTTAATACAATGGCTTATTTAGCTAGCTGGCTGTTACATAATTATAAGTAGGTACCTATATTTTATTAGTAAGTAATATCAGCTATTAACTATAAATGTCTACAAAAATAGCTAAACAGATACGAAGAATAGGTATTGAATTAACAACTTGTTTGCCTTTTCAAAAACATTGATTTCCTTGAAAAGATTTCTACGCGAACATAACGGCTAGTTGTTACAATTAATAAACCATTGTGCCCAAGTCTCTATTATAACCTAGATACCTACGTAACCTATTATCATTTATTGGCATTTTTGAAGTAGGAGCGGCAGATGAAGATATTTGATATCTTAAACCAAAATCTAAGTCATCCCTTTCGGGTTCAAGCTCTTCGAAAATAAATCTTCTTTTTGGACGGACAGTTGTTGTTTTAGGCTTAAGTTTAGAGTTTTTTTCTTTGCTATTGTCCGTGAAAGTACGGCCTTCTTTATTTCGACAGTAGGCCCGAACTTGTCCCTTGAGATCGTGATTAGGTTTTGACTTGATGATAGCCGTAAAGTGCCTGTAACCGACGCCTCCTCTCAGCAGCACGGGAATTGCTTCTGATGATTCTATCGCTATAAATGCTATCTGAAGAGAGCAAAGAAAATTATTATATTAAATTATAAATATAGATAATAACTCGTTACAAACCAACTATCATTGTGCTATGAATAAATATTTTGGTAATATTATTTTCGTAAAAGCGCCTGATATTTATGAATGTACGTAATTAGTCAACTTAAGTTTTATTGCTACAACATTATTGCTGTTTAATTGCTTAATGATTGATTTGATTTGGCTTACTCGGTAATTGCTGGAAATAATAAAATTGTAATAAGCAATCAAATGACTTTAGCATAATTAGTTTAATGAAAAAATTATGAAAACAATAAAATACTCTAGGCAGGTATGCCTACCTGTGTATACTTATGCAGGTAGGTAGGTCAATGCAATGTATGAGACAACTGACTCGCCCCTATTCTCCTCATATTAAAAACATCTCATTTTTATTTTTGCAAGTTTCAGAGGCTCGCAAAAATATCTATTAGATAATTATCTTTCTTTAATTAAGTAACTGAGTATCAATGCTCACCAAACAATCGAACATCCCTTGACACAGGATACGCTGCCCGTCAGCTGTAGCATTGTACTCAAACCGTTGCCTATAGACCCTCACATCATTGTCGAACCTCACGCCTTGGTAGATACTCGGACGTGTAATAATAAGATTACTCTTTGACGCAGTCGTTGGCAAAGGTTGTGGATATGCTTCTTCAAAGTTCGTATTGAACCTGAAAGAAGTAAAAGATGGGTATATGTCTTTCTTTTACAAGCCCTGCACAATCTCAAAGGCTACTGTAACTTCTGTATAGGTGGGGTACCAGACAGATGGGGCTCAATAAGGCTGATGCCGATATGGAGCCGCAGAGGACTTAACAGGGCTCAAGATCGAAGTGCAGGAGTAGGAACGGGGTGGTTTTTAGTCAGTAAGAGTCTAACACTCCCTCTCGCCTCACCAGGACGGGAGAAGTCATTGAATGATATCCAGGACCTACAGTAGGTACAAGCATGAAAACACCGAAAAAATTAAGTCAGAATATCATTAGAGCAGAATAAACCACTAAATAATTGTAATGATGTTATCGACATTAAATTACAAGCAAGGATGTTGAAAAAAAGAGCGGACATAATGCCACTTAGAAATTATTGAAGCAGATAATTATGTGTGCGTGGTAATGGGTTACCACGAGTTTTCCAAGTTACCAGACTTAAGAAAATGACAGATGTCCTTCGTGTCAATGTGTGTATGTTCTGCGTGTAAGTCTATAATAACCAGGTGCCACAGTCGTGGTTTCAGGAGACTGTTTCCGTCGCTTTTTTTAATGTGTACAAGTAACTAGGTATGTACTTACATCCGTAGTCCTTCCTTTTTATCAGGATTAATGTCCTTCTTGCTGAATTTTAAAGCATTTCTAGCACTAACTAAACGTACAGCTATTGTATAAAAGAGCACGATAAATATATCTGTAGTTAATTTCATAATAAATAATTTCTCATAACGGTGTAAGAAACATGAGGTTTGCTATATTTACGGCAATGGAGTAGGTTAAAAACATGAATCCATTGTTATATACTGCTAGTCTGTGGTAATGGCCAATATGGCCTGCGATATTTTATGAGTTTTTTATAGGTATACGCCTACGATTTTCCACCACATGGCATAGTTATAAAATACACCGTCAAGGCCATGAAAAACAATTACTGTTATTGCTTAATTTTCCAATTTCATAATTATTTTTCTGAACTCGAGTGTTAAGCCTGAATGATTATTGCTATTAGCTGTTACGCAGAATAACTCGTAGCAATCGCTATGCTTAGGTATTATTGTAAAACTAACCAAAATAAATAATCTTAATTTTGTATTGGGCAAAGTACCTACCTACCTATTATTTCAATATATGGCATACTTAGGTCTAAAATACGAGTCGCCATCTAGCTGGATATAAGCTTTTTCTTTATCTTAATTTTCCACATGAATCTTAAAAGTAACAGAACAGTTGATTATAAATACTTAACTACTTAATTATTTATTTCTTTAATAGTAAAAGGTACAATGTATGCCTTAAAAAACGCCATGTCTTTATATTATATAAATACTTTCATCTATTTCCTTGGGCCGTCATAAGGTGTGATCTTAGCAGTTACTATTTTCGGTTTATCAACAACGTTTATTATTCTGTAGTAATCCCTAGTGATCCATATGTTTCTTTTATATGGGTTTGAAATAACAAAAAGTTACGTATATTACTTAATACTTATAAAAACAGATAGAAATAAAATGAATGTACAGAAGTAATTAAAATTACACATAAAATTAAATACAAAAAAAATATCTAATGAAATTGTTGTATCGATCCAGAATATACAGATATTCAACACAATTTTTTAGTTTTATTTTGATTTTGACGCAAAAACAATACGTTTTTGACATTGACAGTCCTCGATTGATTGGCTCTGAAATTGTCTACTAATTTTCGTACTTTGTATTTTATTAATATTTTAAATTATGAGTTATATTAAACCTGTTACTCTGTAAAATATATTGTTTACGTTTCTTCATCTCGTTTCTTATAAATTACTTACTTCTCAACAATGGACGGTAAGAGATACCCTGTTGGTCGGCTTTTGTATTGCAGTATATTTTCCTAATAAATATTTTTGTTATTTTAGGCTATACAGCAAAAAAATCAACATCATTCGAAACTTTAGTGATTCAAAATATTACCAACGTCAACGAATTAAAGGCAAAACTCAGCGGCATAATTCTAGCGGGGGAAGATTACCAATATGACGTTTCCGACTCTATGAAAGTCTTGCTTACCAGTACTGATCAAGACATAGTGCAGTTATGCATAGAAGCGATCGCAGAACTTGTAAAATGTGAACAGAAACGCGATTCATATGCTAACAAAAACATTATTGGTCCTATTTTGGATCTGTTGCGGAAAGAAACTGTTTCAGATAATATTGAGCCTGTTAAACAGTGCTGCAGAGCTCTGGGCAATCTGTGCTGTGACTGTGACACATCTAGGCGACTGATTGTGAGCTTGGATGGTATACCACTACTTGTGAAATTGCTGGAGAGAAGTATTGACCTGCGGCTAGATGAGATACAAACATTGGCTAGCAAGACACTACTGAACTTTGCAATTGGTGGGGCAGAGTTCACAGAGATAATATTTCAAGCAGGAGTGGTTGATTTGGTACAGAGGATGTTAAGTATAGAACTTAAAAGGGATGATTTTGATGATGATACACTGTCTACATGCTTGTTGATATTGAGTGTTATAAATGATAACACACCGGAGTTGCTGTACAGCGAAGTGGTGAACAAGACTATATTGCAGGTGTTGAGGGAATCCCTTAATATGGAGATCTCTGAACTGTGTCTGGATCATTTGCATGCACAGGCTGAACATGGTAGGTTTAGAATGAGGAAAATAGTGCTATATTATGTAACAACTCTTTGAGGAAATAAGTTTTAGTGAACATATTAGATACACTACTTATTAAAATTTGTTTATTATTGTTACTTGCAGAGTCAGTAAAGACTTTGATTGCTAAAGAAGGTGGGGTGCAGCTAGTGTGTAATCGCCTTGAAGAGCTGGTGACGAGACATACTGCAGGGGAACTGAACGCTGCTGACACAGAAGTAGAGGCTCTCATGAAACAGGCCTGTGAACTGGTCATCATTGTGTTGACTGGAGGTACATTAATATTTATTTGTATGTATATTAGAATTTTTATAGTTATGGCAACTTCATAACTATGTTTCTTTATGTTTAATTAATAATAATAATAATATATGCTTTATTGTACACCACACAATTGTAATACAGGACAATATTTCCTAAAACAAAATAGTGTACAATGGGCGGTCTTATCGCACAAGGCGATTTCTTACAGACAACCTTTGGATGGAGCAGCAACAGGAGTCTGAAATGGGTCGTCAAGTGTACATTAATTAATATCTGTATAAAATACTATACATACATACAAGAATACTAAAAAATAAATAATATATATAAAAAACAATATGATACATATATTACAAAATGGTGTGTGTTGTTGTATGTGTGTGTGTGTAGGTGTCTGGTTAAGATAGGAAATAAAATTATAAAGAGAGGTAATGCTCTTTAACAAGTTTTTTAAATTGCGATATAGTTTGAGCTCACCTCACTGTTATCGGTAAAGCATTCCACAACCGAGCTGCTTGTACTGTAAAGGATTTGTCGAAAAAGGTGTAATTACATCTTATTTGAAGAAGTAACAGAGTAGGAGGTACAATTTTTTTAATTGCCAAAGAATGATATTTGTTACATAAAATACTCACATATTTATGGAGTTCTTTTTTTGTATCATTCCAGATGAAGCAATGCACATCCTTTACAATAAAGGTGTGTCAGAGGTTTACCAAACAGTTGTGAAATGGCTGGACTCTCCAAACCATCAGTTGTTGACCACCGCAGTACTGGCAATAGGCAACTTTGCCAGGCAGGATGACTACTGCACACACATGATGGAAGATAAGATATTTGACAAGCTGCTGGGTAAGTTATTTTTAACCTCTGATATTGTCAAAATGAAAAATATTAGTACATACAGCATTCCGATTCTGATTCATAAGATGCTTTTATTTTGGAATTCAATTTGACTATTCAGGTTCGGCAATTTTCTCAGTTAATTTTAATTAACTAAAACATTTTTCTAGATATTTTCGAGGTCTACAATAACTTCAGCATTCAGATTCAGAAGGAACCAGAGAAAAAGCACCCTATTGACCCGATAACAGTGATCAAACTCCTTCATGCGGTTCTCTCGTCATTGCGGAACTTAGCCGTGCCGGTGGCGAACAAACGAGTGGCGGCGGCGCAGGGGAGGGCTGCTCCCATGTTGTTGAATGCGTTGCCTACTACTGAAGATCACCATGTGGCTTATAAGCTACTTGCCACCATTAGATTACTTGTAGATGGCCAAGGTAATAAGTTAGTTAATAATTTAAAATAACTATTAATTCATGTTAACTGTTTGAGAAAATCTCTACCAATTTCAACAGGATTCTCATCCATTATTAGCGTGCGCGGCGCAGCAACGTCGTGCAGTTATCTTGCGTATTCACTTAAGAAAGCCGTTATTTTTAGTTAATTTAGTTTGTCTCACAATAGTCATTATACTAAAATATTCGTTTATTGTTTGGAAAGTAAATCAGTTTATTGTTGTTGAATTTATTATTTTAAAAATGGTTCTCTGCAGAGGGTGTAGCGAAGCAGTTGGCCAACAACCCGGTGGCGCTGGCGACGGTGGCGAGGTGGGGCCACGCGGCCGAGTACGCCGGCGCCGCGGGGGAGGCGCCGCGACTGCTCGCCTGGGCCATCAAACAACTGCGACATCACTCGCACTGGAAACACATTGTTGAGGTAACTCAAATGCCTATATCTACTTATGTTGTTTGTGTAAATAAGAGGTCCGCATAATAATCTATTCATTTCTATTCTCATTCTAAATGATTAACTTATAATTGCAGGTGGATGGCTGTATATCAAGTCTAGTAAATATGCTCGTAGCATCTCACTCACTGATGCAGAACGAAGCCATACTCGCCTTGACACTGCTCGCAATAGAATCACTCAAGAAACTATCACCTGACAGCCAAACAGAATTCGATTACGAAAAGAGCTTTGTTGAACAGTTAATAAAGTCTGAAATTGGTAAGCATGTCACCATCCTCATAGACACAAATTGTGCAAAAATGCCTGTTGAAGTAGCTGAAAATTTACTCGCGTTTTTGGATATAACATCAAAGATAAACAAACTTGCCGTGGATTATAAAGATGCTAAAGTCCACGAATGTTTAATGAAATTCTCAGATTCAAGAGCTGATCTGACAACTGACATGAAATCATGTATTTTTGGTGTCTTCTCATCTATTACTAACAACGGGAAAAATGATTAAATTATCTTTGAATGCTCTCAAGGGAAGTGAAGATACCAAAATACCAAATATTTTAAGTTTTATGTTGAAATGATGAATGATTTACTATGATTATGTGAATGTTGCAACATTATGAATTCAAGATTTGTTCTAATTATTGTGATGTAACTTGGAGTAAAGCAAATATGGCGGGTCTGTTGTCAGGCATGGAAGGTAACCATCAAAACCTTAAAATCTATAGTCCCTGTATAAAGTACTTATATGGCCCAAGCCTAAGTAACAACTATTTGTAGTAAATATTAATTTTCGAGCAATTATTTAATCAATTCTTAGTCTATGCATGTGTGATAATCATGATAAAAAGTTTTAAGTCTAAGAAGTGGTTAATCACTAGTTTAATCATTTAAATTTTATTATTATTCTTAAACTTATTTAGATTTGTGCCCGGTTCTTGTAATGCAGAAGTAAGCTAATTTACCAATGAGTGAAGCCAAACAGTTCCTCTATGTTTAACCCATCGGAAACTGAAGAGGCCGGGCAGTCGTAAATCAAGATATTATATAAACAATCCTCCTACAATTTTGTAAGCTTTTTAAAACTCTCTCTAGTCATAGTTTTAATCTTTCTCTATTTGAGTAAATGCTAGAATTTTGTGCATTTAAACTTTACTGTGTAATGTTTAAGCGTATTTTCCTATGTAAGACAATTATTTTTGCGATTCTCTCAAGTTTTTACATTCCAACATTTGAAACTTTGCCTATTACCTATTATACTGTCGATGTTATTATCCTATTTGATGATAGCTTGCTTGTGGACTAGATCAGAAATTAATGCATAAGTTTCATTTCACAAAATTTAAAGGACAATCAATTGTTTCCTTTCAAATTTAAAATTTAATTTTCTTCATGCACTATTTACTTAAGTGCTACTCGGACAAATACTTTCTGGAGTATGCACATAATAAAGAAACGAAATACTTATTATACCTTTTGGTATCTGACTTAATTTTTGTACACACATAAACAGTTAAATTAATTTCTGATCAAAATAAATAAGAAAATGTATGGTTGTAAATTGTACTAATTACAAATAGATGACAGCGATTCTAAAGAAATACTCAAAGTACAATGTAGGTTCACATAGTGAATCATATGGAAATGTTGAAATATTCCGATTTTTCGCAAATATTGCTTAAATAATAATATAAAGTCAAAGTAACGAAGTTAGCGTGGACACGCCTCTAGATAGAACTTAGACAATACAAAAGCCACAGAAGAAAAGGATTACAGTAGACATTTTTGAAATACCTAATCAATTTGTTTTAATCCCAATTTACTTCAGATGAAAATATTTTTATTTAAAATGGTTTCCCATTTTAAATAAAAATACACCCCCTTTTTACTACAGGCATATGAATATACATACGATACATATACCAAAATAACACTTTACAATTTTTGTGTTTGTATTGGTTAGTCTCTGAAATAGCTGACGTCCTAAGGAGTGACATAGGCTACTTTTACTGTAGAAAAACGCAGACGAAGATGCGAGCTAAGTACTGCTAGAGGCATGTCTCTTTATATTCACTTTAATCCTAAGAATTTTGATAATCCGATAGTGCACTTATTGAATAGTTTGAATTGACGCTTGACTTGTGGAAGTGTACAATTAGATACCCTAGAATGTCTAGACTACGCTGAATGTGTGTTCACTAATGTACTACCTAAGTTTATTTCGTATTTCAGTCAATATTCATAGATTTTCCTATTATTTTGAGCCGGGTGATCTGCAAATTTATGCGTACGACGTTCGTCACATCATGCGGGTTGATATAGGGTCTAACTAATATAAAAATATTATTATACATTTTATTTACGGCTAGCGAAAAAGCTCGGCTTTTATTCTTAGCCACATAATGACGATTTTTACTTTTAAGTCAAGTTTTTTTTTTATTATTTACCTTATTCAAAGTGCATTACAAGGTCTAATCAAGTTAATTTTAATGAATGTATTGTATTTTTACACAATGTCTTTGAAATTAATGTAGCTACTTATTTGAGAATGTCAATAATACTTATTTAAGTGACAGACTCAAAGTTCTATACGAGTTCGAAAGTGAATCTTGATGCAGTTTATAATACACTAGTCTCAAAATAGAAATGATTACACAATATTATAGACTTATTTAATGGATTTTAAAGAACACTAAACCATCAAGGCCTAATCATTAGTATCCGACTTTTGAGCAATATCTTTGGTACATGAAATCAATCACCAAAATATTAGTTTTACGAATAAAAGTGCTATTTTCAATTATTTAAGTTATTTTATACTCTAGACACCACACGCCATAACTAGTGGGATACTTGTAATATATTATTTGCAAATATTAACATTAGGTCCGACCAGAAAACAACAGTGTCCAAAAATAACTTGTTAGTTTGTAAGTTTATTATGTAAAATATATTATTCTTTTACTTAAGTATTAATTGTTAAATGTTCTTTACAAAGGTATCAACAAAAATTGTTGCTCAATTGACACTTTTTACTAATGCAATGATTAATGTATCACACTTAATATTATTGTCATTATAAGCACTTCTATTGGTCAATTGATACTTCTTAATTCTTACTTTTTTATACATATTTTTCTGGTCGGTTTTATATATTACTATAAGTATATTGTGCTTCTTAGTAGTCAAATAATCTTGTTAATGCACTTTTATTGAAATAGTTTTATGGACCAATATTTATAAATTATTATTCTTCAATATGTTGTCATCAAGATTAGGAGCCAGTTTTATGTTTTTTTTTTCAACATAGTATGTGGAGCCTTTCGAATGTTAAATGGTACTATGGATTCAAAAAATGAAATATGTAGACATAATTATTGATTATGTATTAATTTACAGTCAATATGATAATTTGCCTTTTTAAATAAAGTAGTTTCATAGATAATATGAATAACAAATAACACCAAAATGTATTTGATGGGACTAATCTTGAAGATAAAAATATTGAGTAACAAAACGCATTATATAGATTTAGATATTAATAGATTTTCGCTAAAATACATTATATTCTACATGTATTATGTGTTTTATTTCCCTTTATTGACGATCTAGAGTAAATAATAAAAGAAATTACTTCATTAGAAATTGTATTTCTATTATATACATAATTTTAACATCCTCACAGACTTGCTAGGATTGTCACCTTTTCATTATGTAGGTCCAATTTGAATGACACCCGTTCATCAAACTTCTCTAATGAAGTTCAAGTTTTGTAACAAAGTTGAAAATATATTGCAGAAATTTGTGAATTTAGGGTAGGTTGATGAACTAGGATCTATCAAACAAAATGAATTCTCTCAAACTCATCTTGTACTCGATTTTATTTAAGAAGAGTGCTTACTTAAATTATTTTTATTATTTGAGTTTACAGTGACTAATGTTATAGTGATGAAATTGTGGTAAAATATGTGTAAAGTTCTTTGTGGATTTTATCATTTAGATAAATCCATCAAAATTATAAACCTACGATTTTATCACAACTCTAGTAACTTTAACTAGTACACAATCACTAAAATTTATTCATATAAAAGTAGTCTCTAAACAGTCACCGGAGACCACTTGAGGGTTGATCAGTTAAATACCAAAAGTTACAACATCTACTCAAATGAAATCGAGTATAGTCTATGGCATTTACTCAAAGACCAAGACTAGCAAGGAGGTTCTATTACATAGTTTCATCTAAGTCCATGATGGATCTTTCTTGAATCATTGTGGAATGTTTGGTGATGGTCATACGGAACTTCAGTTCTTCATCAGATATTAAATGGTCCTTTGTTATGGGTCCTCTGTTACCACATCCAGCAACTGTAAAGAGAATTAGAACTTATTATGAAGATTATAAGGATCATTTTGTATCGTAACAAGTAGAAAAGTATGGTTCCTCACACTACTGTGAGATTTGCTAAAATCTCCAATGTCTAAATAAAGTTGTATTTGCTTACCTGGACATTTAGATCTAGGTTTTGAGGAAATCAAATTCATAATAGTAGCTCTCTCATAGATGTGCCCACAAACTGTGTTCTTTACTGGATCAGTCACCGGCCTTTTTGTTATAGGATCCAACTGCAATAAAAATAAGAATTTTATCAAGATTAACTCGTCGAGTACCGTCATTATAGACACAATTATACAATAATAGGTTGCGGTCACCGGTGACCGCTTGGTGTTTGACAGTTTAATAAATAAAAGTCAATAAATTATTTGCATTGCTTTTTAGCTACAGTAGGTAGGTTTGTAAACTCTAATTCTTTATTGCATTCATGTGTACTTACATATTGATCCTGTGATTCAGTTATCGCCAAATCTGATTCATCTAAATTACCTGTAAAAGAAACATAATTATAATAAACTCTTAAGCAAACTTTTGATTCATATTTATGGAGGACCAAAATATCAACAAGTCTTACGTGCAGCACTCTCCAATCCCTTTTGGAATCTCTTATTGAATTCAGTCATATAAGGATGATTGTCAACCCTGAGCCGTTTCCCTGCTAGATTACTCAGGTGTGCTTGGAACCTCTCCTCTAGAGTATCCACATTTGAAGTGTCAGTCTCATTCTGTAAATACAAACAATTCCATAGACTTGGTTTAACTTTTTATGACTCATAACGTAAATACTGAAAAGTGGGGGTTACATTGTAGTCGCAGTGCCGTAATGTGCACCTCTACCTACCCTTCGGGGATAAAAGGCATGATGTTAAGTTAAGTCAACTTCATTGCTATATCAAGTGCCGAGTAGGTTTATCAATAATAATTTAGAATAATGATAAAGTTTGGAAGTTTCCTAGATAAGCCGAATGAGTCATCAAACAAAATTGTTCGACGAACCACTATAATATTATGATTTACATGTGTATCAATACTCATTCAGTTGGAAATATTGACAAAGTGGAAAAAGTAGTATGTACAATTTTTTATTGTACAGGATACAATAAAATCTAACCTAAAAAAACTACAAGACGAATTCTTACCTTTGCTCTCTCCATAGCTTCAATGGTAACGTCTTGCTGGGCTTCTAAAGTGCAATACTGCTGGACACACAACTTTAGTTTATCAAATTCAGCTTCTTTTTCACTATCTAAATATTTTGAAACATTATCTGTACACAAATATAGGCTAGTTATGCACTGTTTCCTTAAGTCAGCTAAATCGTTGTCTGCCATCGTAATTTGTTACGTGAAAATTATATACAAAATGTTATTCAAAATGAATTGATTAGAATATTTTCGACAACAAAAACAACTCAAACGAAAACAATTCCCGCCATTTTGTTTTATTTTTGACATAGATGAATGACAGATTTTTGACCACATATATATTTTTTTTTTCCTCTTTGGCAACCGAGCACAGATATTTTTATTTTAACTACGGACAATACTCAGACTGACATGATATTTTTTGATAATGATTGACTACTCGCAGTTTAGCTCCAAATATCTCTGCTTAAATAACCTACAATTGCCCTTTAATTTAAATCTACACTACTACCTTTTAACTAAATAACCCTATCGTTGATGCTGTAGCAGTAGCCTTATAGTTAAGGCTACCAACAAACAAAATATCCATATCGCTGAAACAATTCGATCCCTGGCTCAGTGGAGGAGCGACATTTGAGGAATTGAAGTTAATAAGATGTTTTGCATTTGGATATCCCCAGACATCATCTCTAGCTGAAGTGAGAGTATCCGCTTAGTTGCTGGCAGTGGTCTGGTACTTCTGGTAGGATTAAGGCTGAAGATCGAGGTTAGTGGTGTTGGAGGTGCCAACGTCCAGCGATAGATGAAACCACTGTTGATGATATTACGTGATTTCATTCAATTTGACTTCGACTAGTAACAATAATATTAACGAACATCAAGACAATCGGCGAAGTATGACCGATCCATAATAGATGTTCCACCCACACGTACGCGCTTTGCATCAAGCTTTCTTGTGCGTCCCATAACAGTTTATGGGAGTGAAATTCTTTACCAGAGTCTGTTTCCGGGTATAACCTACTAACCTAGGTGTCTTTAAGGCTTGAGTGAATAGGTTGGACATAACAAATGATATGGGCACACGTCATAGATATATCTATGGCATATGTGCTCCATCGTAAGCCGCAACCATAGATTTATAAATATAACATAGATGTCTGGCTATTGTCTACGGGTAGAATTTAGGATCCATCTTGACGGTAAATTCATAAACATACTGTTGTTTCTTTTTTACTTATGTCTCTTTGCTTTTGCAGAACGAGACAACACATTATTGTCATTCTGGCCATAATTTTTTGACGTCATCAGAAAAACCTAGTTGTGCCGAATTGGCCATCTTAGTCCCTGTTATCAGTGCATGTCAGTGGTACATCAGCTGTCAAAGCATTGGTCAACAATATTTTGTTACGAAAATTTGTAGAATTCCTGTTGTTTTTGTGCGTGGTAAACAAAGAAATTATTGGTTAGTGAGAAGAACTATGCCCGGGTGCAGTGTTATTGGATGTAGCACTAAAAATATTACTAAACCGGCAGGTGTAACATTACATCGGTAAGTACTGTTATTTTTCATTAAAATATCTCTGTTTTTCAAACTATTCAAGTGTGGTTGCTGCAAATTGACTAAATACAATACTTTTCTAACTAATGCAGTGCTTATTTTCATTAATTTTAGTTGAAATACGTCTAAAACAATTTTCATTAAAAAATAGTGATGTACATGATTGTTCCCGTATCGATAATTTTATCGTACATAATAAATGCGTCAAAAGTAGAACAAAGAACTATACTAAATTCTGAATGATAAAGTGCATTAATTTGACATAATGACAAAATACAAAAAACATTAAGTACTCGTCAAAAATTTCATTTTATCGACAAAATTCCACCATCGTCAATACCTACGTAATGTAATAAATAATTAATACAATAGAGAATAATTTTTGTACAATATGAGATAAGGAATAATATTGTGGGAAATGCATTTTTGTCAAAATTGATTTTTTTATCAAATGCCGCTCGACGGATTCAAATGAAACAAACAAATGAAATATAACTTTAGGGTATTTTTAGAGTATTTATTAGAATGTGTCGAACTCTGCCGATAATTTTAATAATATTATAAATTTTCTTTTTAGTTTGTGCTTGAACCACGCAGAAGTTCTTGGCTGGAAATAATTAATGTGGGAAATATAGATACTAGAAGGAAACATATCTTTGTTTGTTAACTTTATTTTGAAGATTAATGTTTTAACCGAACAATAAATTAATAGTAAATCTACGTGATGGGGCCCTATCGCTACAAGCTCTATTGGTAAATCATAATGTAAACGATTCATTATGTGTTTTGTTATATTAGTTTTGGAAGCATTTTTTGAAGAGGTGCAAACTTAACATTTTATTTAACATTTATATTAAGTTCATAACTAACCGGGTTCTTGTACCTATATGTTTCTGTTTTCCTCCGCTATCTATCACTATCATTGTAATGTACAAACATTTTCGTTCAGAGCTTAGTACAGTACCTATAGAATCTATAGAAAAATCTATGTTCAATTGGATCAAGTAAGTTAAATTATACTATTTATGTTGCAGCCTCTAGCCAGATATGTGCATGAAAATGAACTTGGAACCAGTTCTGGAGTCTTCTCGAAAGATGGTTTTGCAGATTACATTACAGGGAAACACTACGAAAAATACGAAGATATTGTATATTATAAATCTTGATTTTATGAATACTTTGATACAGTTTTATTTTTCAACCCTCAAAAATTACTTAACCTTAAGTATATAAATATTGACCAGTTGATGGAAAATCCTTTTCATGAATTTCGATACATAAGTATCGTGAAAGTTATGATGTGAATGTATAGGCACGATCGACTGGAGTGACAGTGCACGCAGCAACTACTAAATATATTTCGCTAATATGTTGGTAATGTTTAGCAGCTAGATAAAAATTAAATCCAGATGAATCATAAAATAATGATATTTTATTGATAAGTCAATTAAAACCAATTCTAAAATATCGATATTTCTACAGTTTTAAAAGTTACATCCCTAGTTCTATCCGCCATTACAGGTGACCAAGTGAAGTTTATGTAGGCACGATTTTTTCCTAGTTGTTTCTTATCCATACTCTTATCATATCAGTGGCCGCAACATTACTTACCACCAGACACTGATATGATAAGAGTACCACTAGGCGAGATAACTTGAGAGTTCATGTTTTGCTGTCGTAACTTTGGGCACAAGAAAATAAATAACATAGTGTTGTATCATAATATTTTTATTGCAAATAATATGTGAGTAAAAGGAAATAAGTATTAATACTTGATTATGTAAATAAAAAATGTCTTTTAAATAAATACTTAAGATTAATATTGCTAAGGCACACTAAGCATACATGTTTTACAGTGCAAACTAGATTTTTTGCCTCGGGCTTTAATATGCAACATTTTTTACAGTGTTGAAATTTATTAAACAGTTGGCCCTTGGCCTATTTTGTTATTAAACAACATAATTATGTTTTTTTTTTCTATTCTAGTCTATACAGTAACTCCAACATGTCCTAATGCAGCAGAAAGTTGTTTGAGGTGCATCTTCATATCAGCGGGAGAAATGCCGCGGCGAGTCTCGATCACTTTGAATGCATTTAGGTATTCTAGTTCAGTGAACTGAGCGCCTTTCTCGCGAACTGACGTTATTATTTCCTGTGGATAATTTGGGATATTAGAATATGTTATTTTTTATTTTATTTAGGACATTCAAATAAAGAATAACAAAGTTAGGAATTTAAACAGGTGGATAATTATGTTTCCGTTATAATATGTTAATAATACTTTTTAAATAATATTATTACGTATTGTTATTTTTTTACATCGACACAGTTACTTGCGACCAACGACTATTGTAATACGGCCATCAAATTAATCTACGTAGTGTAATAGTTATTTCAATGTATGCATAATACTTGTTTGGTTGTTGGCCTGATTATATTGTTAACAAGTATATTTAGATTATAAAGTGTTGTAAGTCTGCAAACGCACTAGTGGTTGACCGCTTAGGTAGTTTGTATCATTTGACGCGGTTGCATATTAAATTGGAAAGCGAAAAAGCGAACAACCGCTGAGGACGGCTAGTCATGCGCTTATGCTAAGGAAGAAAAGTATGGAGGCTGCATACGTTGGGCGAGCAGCTGAGCAGGTGCAGGTAGGCGTGCGCGCGGTGCAGGCCGGAGTGCGGCAGGCCGAGCGCGGCCAGCGCGTGGCGCAGCGTGGCCAGCCGCGCCGCGCCCGCGCCCGCGCCGCCCGCCGCGCCCTGCCAGCGCCACACCACGCCCGCCGACATCATGGCGCCCAGCCCGCCCAGCACGTAGGCCAGGCGGCGCGGCGCCAGCACGCCCGCCGCCAGCTCGTGGAAGCCCAGCAGCGCCTGCGCCAGCTGCGCCGCGCCGCCCGCGCCCGCCTCGTCCGCCGCGCCCGCGCCCTCGCCGCGCTCCTCCTGGCCCAGGTAGTGGAAGCACTCGATGCGGAGCTACACCACACAACACAAACGGTACCGAATTTAGTGTCATATAATGTTAACGAATAAAAATAGTATAAAAAATTACAGGAAATATTGTTTGTTTATTTGAATATTCAATTTCATATATGTATGAAATTATTAAACCCTGATCTTTAACATGTCAAAGATAAAGGTTTAACAATAACAACTTAAAAATCTACTTGCTCTTGCTCTTGCGACTTGGTCGACGTGGAATAATGAATTCCGCAGAATTTGGGTTTGTGACTAAAATTTATTTTTTTCAAAGTATATTCTACGACTGGAGAAAAAATAAGGAGAGACGACAATATATCAATTAAAACCAAACTAACGCAATATCTCTTACTGCGCAGACACATAGTCTCTGAAGGCAGCAGACAGCAAACGCATTGACACTTTTGAGATGTGGTGCTGGAGGAAGATGCTCCGTTATTATAATAACTATCACGAGACGTACTAAATTAACTACAAACTGCGGGTTACTCACGTAAATATACTGAGAAAAGCTCTACTAGTTTCGAACCATAGAGGGGTTCTTCCTAATGAGCAGCGTTCGCGGTCGCGGCGACCGCGACGACGTGGCTGCACGTGAGTAAACAGTTAAACACGTGAGTATCCCGCGATTTTTAGTTAAGATGTTCCGTATTCTTTATCCGCAATAATTACCAACTATCCTTATTTTTGATTTCCTACTATACTATTTAGCCGTTTTGGCGTGATTGAGTAACAAATGTGACGATTTGGCTATAGTAAAACTAAGGTAAATATCCCATTTCCTCTGTTCCCGTAGGATATATCTAGATGTTATCTAGATCATAATCAACTTCCTGGTAGAAATTTTATTCCAACGCCTTTACCGCTTTTGACGTGATCGAGTAATAAACATACATAAAAACACAAACTTAAAGGCAATCATAATGCAAAACGGCCACTTACCTCCAAATGTAAGAACAGCAAGCATTTATGTGACATTTCGTCTAACTGCTTGACGTTAGCAGAGATATCGCTTAAGAACTTTTCAGGAAGCTTGTTCAGTCCTCCTGGACCACCTAGCATGGATGGCAGACTCTTGATGTTAGCGCTCAACCAGTCCTAAAAATATATTGAAACATTGTTAAAGTGGGTGTTACATTGTACAATGGCATTGTGCACTTCTGCCCACTTCTTCGGGGATAAAAGGCGTGATGTTATGTTCGAAGATTTGTCGTTACGACGTTTTTAATTTTACGTGGGTATCAAAATACTTTTTGGTCGACACGTAAACCAATTAACAATTTTAATGTTAGTCCCTATATTGGTTTTTGACTAAAAATACAAATAAATAAAAATACATTAACTTACCAAAGTTTCGCACAATACCGCAATATCAGCGAGGGTGTTAATATCAGGTATAATTTCTTTGCGAGTGACGGCCCCGTCGCCAAGACTTGAGCCTAAGATTTCTGCTTCACGTTCATAAGCCTGCTCTAGATCCTGGCAAGAAAATGTTCTCGTGTGAATAAAATTTCAAATTAAGTTAAACCTTTGTTGCAATATCTCATTTTCCCAACCCAATACAACCATCCATCTGGTCATACACACGTACTTCGGGTAGTACGTTTGTAGAAGTACGTAAAGAGTTTGTACTCGAAAAATTGCTATTTTGAAGTCCAATCTACCAAACTACCATAGCATACTCTTCTCTCTCTTTTTCTCTTCATGATTATTATTTCTTCTAGAATTTGACTTCTCTTATCAAGTCATTCCTCAGCCAATAAATGAAAGTGGTTTAAACTTACTTCCGCACTGAGCCTGGCGTCTGGATGTATAACAGCGGTCCAGTTGTTCAGTGACATTAGGAAGCGTACTATGTCGTCATCAGCCAGCCATCGTTGAGCTCTCGATACCCCTGTACGCAATAAAATGTGTAAAAATTTAGTGTAACATACAATATCTCCAAAATAAAGTCAAAGACTTTATTTTAGAGGGAGAAGAGATACTGTTACGAGATTTGCAAGCAAGCAAAATGTTTGTTTAAATGCAATGTTTAAAGGCCATACAGTAGTAACTGCTATAGTACTACATTGTATAACACGATTTGGACGACATTATGTAACATAATCTATAATATGTCAAGATACTACTATAACTTTTGTAATAATTTGTTTAAAAATAAATGTATGTCAGTCTCTAACGATATACAACTGTTGTGTGGGAGTAACTTAATTAATTGAAATTGCTAATTGCTGTCTAATTGGTGGATTGTTCGTTTGCGAGTCTCTTAAGAGGCCAGTAGAATACCAGCGCAAGGTCTTGTTTGGCTCATGCTGAACTAGTTCCATTTCGCCGCAGATTTAAGACATGAACATGTACATACAATATGTCTTTTGTCTTATCTGTGAAATAACTGTTATGTTCTTTGTTCAAGCAGGGATTGTTTTTATGTTTACGAAATGACAATGAGTGTTCCGCGGTATGTACCGTGCGAGGTGGTGGCGGGACACATGCGCGCGTGCGCGGCGCGGGCGTGCGCGGCCAGTGCGGCGGCCGCCGCCGCGGTGGCGCGCAGCGCCGCGTGCAGCGCCGCGCCCCCCCCGCACGCCGCGCACCGCCGCGCCGCGCGCGCCGTGTCCGCCACGCAGCGCCACGCCGCGCCCGCGCACGAGAAGATCATGCTGTGCCGAGGCCTGCACAAACATTTTTTTTAGAAACGCTGCCCCACACTAACATTTTGTTATAGATTCGTGGGTATGTTTACAAACATCAAGGTCACATACACATCACACCCAGAGACCCGGAACAACAAACTTCGGATCACACAAAAAAAATTGCGTTCGGGAATCGAACCCGCAACACATTGCGCGACAGCAGCCACCGCACCAACCGTGCAGACAAGAAACATAAAGATTTTAAATTACTACAAAAGCCAATTTGAAAAAGAAAGCAACTAAACCGAATGGTTTAGGAATACGTACCCAGCCTTAAGGCCAGTGTCGGGCGGCGCGGCCCGCTCCCTCCAGACGGCGGGCGCGCGCATGATGTCGTCGATGGCGGCGCGCGCCACGCGGGCCAGGCGCTCGCTCTCCCCCGTCTGCACGTAGTCCGACAGGAACGCGCGCAACGAACACTCGCCGCCACTAATAAACCAACGAATCTTTCCTCAATCACGTAGTAAACGTTTAGTTAAGTAAACTCGACATGAGTCATGAGCGTCTATATTAACACGTTCTTTACATGCAATCAGAGTCCAGAGACAATCGGCGTAAATAAAGTTTACGTTGCGTTTTATCACCTGAGTAATATTACGCTAAATCTCTAATCTTCAAAAGGCGGCAACATATTTGTAACCATCTAATTACCCGGATGCGATTGTCGTATTGTTGTCATTGTCCCGAATATTATAAGAAAATGATGAGTGTTACCCGGTGAGGGGCTCGATGTATGCGCAGAGCGGTTGCAGCGCGGGCAGCACGGCGTGCAGGTGGGCGGGCTCCGGCCGACACACCAGCGGGTACTTGTGGCGCCGCGCCGACAGCGCCGGGGACACCGCCGGCGGACCTGCGGGGACGGCCCGTGAGACGATACTTCAAGCCTACCGAGTACTATATGTACCTTTCCAGTACCTACTATATGCATCACCCTATGGTTGGCTGGTAGAGAATGCCATTCAGCATTAAGTTCGCCTTTGTATACATTTGTACAGAAAGTGTTAAATAAATAAAAAAAAAATATATATATAGTGGTAGGTGTCAATACAATGAACAGATGATATTGTTAGAAATTATAAATTGTAGTCTTAGCTATTAAATGCCGCATATCGACTTTGTGCCTAAATCCGTACAAGTTGTGAAAAACCTAACATGGCCAGTACTTCGAAAGTACATCGTAACTAAAACTTAAGACTTGATTAGCAATCTACGAAACGTTATGTTAACTCGACTAAAACGTTACCGCGTCTCTGATTGGTTGAATCATTTGGAGTAGGCCAATCAAAGCGCACTCAAAACTGAATAGATATAAAAAATAAAAATGCATACATACAAAATTATGAGTCAAGTTTCATTTATTATTCAGCAGCTTTTAAAGATCATTAATTCGTATGAATATAACGTAAGAACCAGTTTTCTATCAAGACACCAAAGCAAATATCATGAAAATGCTCCCTAAACACATGATCTAAAGAAAATCTACTTTCTTAACAGACTTACCAGACAATTTGAACAATTTAGGCCGTCGTCGTTGTGGCCTCTTCTTGGCGAAGTAGTCAGCGAGTCTCAATTCAGTAGTATCAGTTACTGCAGTGCTCACTGAGCGTTGCGCTGCGAGGTTCACGCTCTCGATATCTAAGTACTCCGTTAGGAGGAGTTGTAGCTGGAATTATGTATAAGGCTTTGACTAGAGATGTGAGCGAAAATTTTAGAGGCAAAAAGTAATATGGCGCTTTAGCCCTTGTGACCGTGACAGTATTAGCTTAGTTCTTTCATAAATGAAACAGACTGTGTGTTTCTCTACACTCTCAAGGTTATTGAGACAAAAATAATCCTTACTAATATTATAAATCGGAAAGTGAGTTTGTTTGTTTGTTCCGCTTTCACGCCGTAACTACTAAACCGATTGCTTTGAATTTTTACAGACGTAAAGTTAGAAGTCCGGATTAAATAATAGGGTACTTTTTATCCCGGAAAAATGTGATATTCCCGAGGGAAAACAAAAGTATTGGTATAGATGGCGCTGTGTGTATTGGTATATGTAACATAGGCTACTCTTTTTATCCTTTTGTGACGCGAGCGAAGCCGCGGGTAAAAGCTAGTAATTTAGATACATATGTTTCTTACATACATTATTTATTACATTACGAGGATGCCCGATTAATTTCGAGCTGAACCGGAGTCCATACGTTCCCCACAACAAATAATTTGTACGAACATTATTTATTTGAGTATGTCTTACGATGTAAACAAATACTCACCACTTGTTGCACAGCGCTCCAGTAATGTTGTTCAGTATGCAGACAGGAGTCAGGGACGTGATACTTCTGCAGCGAGGCCCTCCATAGTTGTAGCAATCTGGAACAATATTTTTATGATATGTTATGTGTAGTTTTTCATGGAGAGAAAGTGATGGTTGTTTAAACAATGTAAAGTTAGGTTAGAACTCGATATGCTTTCATGCCACGTTTCTGATAAGATTGACGTCACTTCTTAAAATTAAATTTTCTGGAAATAATATTTACGGGGAAAACAACAGAGATATATTTCCTTTAATGGAAAGGTATTTGCT